ATAGTTGCGGAACTGAATTACATTGAGGCGACTTGGGGCAGTGAAGAGGCAGGGAGCCACTTCCCTGAAGGGGGCCACCTACTGCCTAGCGCCTCGGGCCCTGGACGGGTGTTTGACATTTTCCTTTTGGTGGATGCCTTTCTTTGAGTTTCTCCACTTCCCATCCCCTACAACGGGCATTGAACACCAGGCCTTTGTACTGAGCTACATCCCTTGTACAGTACTTTTTTTTTATTTTTTAGTTTGAGACAAGGTCTAGCTAGGTTGTCAAGTTGCCCAGGCTAGACTTGAACTTGAGATCCTCCTACCTCAGCCTCCTAGAGTTCTTTTAATTTTGTGTTTACATAATTTGTGAATGTTAGCACAGAGCACTGTTTTTATTTAAGATAGAATATTTGTTTTTCCATTATAATAACACCTGTTCAAATTTCTGGAAATAACGTATTTTCTGTTTTCTGTTTGCTTCTTAACCAATATAGTAATTTGTGAAGTGTTAATTACAGTAATGTTTTACAAACAATGACGCTAACTTTGGAGCTCTGTCAGCCTTGAATGTTCTAACAAGTTGAAATCGCCCAAACCTTATCCATTCTACGATTGGCTGACACAAATCTAACCCACCATCTGCCCTCCAGCCTAATCAACTGTAATCCCACCTAAATCCCTTATTAGCGGGCAAAGCTGTTGCAAAGAAAAATTTACAGTAATTATGCCGTTCAACAGTAACTGTGTACTTAGATCAAAATAAGCAAACTAGAAAGAAAAGTTATAATGGGTACATATTTAGTGAAGTCCTATAATTGACGCTAAACACGTGTCTTTTAGATTGCCCTCGGATATTGGTTTAATGCATAGGAAAGTCGAAAACTGCTGTAGCTTGAAGTTCCAGGCTCCTGACAGTTGTTACATTAATCGAGGAGCACAGTTGTATAGCATTTACTTGGGGCTTTGAATGTCTCATATATTCATGTACTATTGTGCAGTTTTCCTTGTGTCCCCAAAGATGAAGAGCTGTAATTGGTAGAGAAGTGCCTTGCGTGCGTGTGTGAGAAGCGTGGGCGGGCTCTAGTTGGTTCACATACTGGGCTGTGAGTGGTAATCAGTGGAGGACCGTGCCGTAGCAGCACATAGGTGAAGGCAGTTTGTGTTCAGCCTGTGAACAGGCACGGGCAAAGACGGGTGGAAAAGGAATTGCCTCCGCGCCATGCCTTTTTACTTTAAGCCGCTGTCCCTATAGAGGGACAGCTGAAAGAATCCGCTTCTCACACTACAGTCTTATTTTATAATTAGCATGACTCAAAGCTTTCTAAAGTGTTGTTTGTTTGTGAGACACAGTCTCCCTATTGTAACTCAACAGTGTAGTCCAGGCTGGCCTCAGACTCCCAGTGGTCGTCCTGCCTCAGCCTGCGATGAGTGCTGGGATTGCAGGCGTGGGCCACCCCACCCAGATTACTGTGCCATGGCATGCTGAATTAAATGGCTTTTATGAATGAGCGTCACATAAAGTCCTCCCTTATCCTAGGTTGGCCTAATGTCTCACACTTTCCTGCCACCATTTCTGGGAATTTGGGTGTTGTCCTTTGCTGCTATCTAGGCGGCCCAGATGCAGCCCAGGTGTG